TGACGTTGCCGCCCACAACAGCTGCAGTGGCGCTCGGGCTGAGGAATGAGCGTGGGGGAATCTTGACGTGGATTGGAGCGAGACAGCCCTGGTTAAGTGGAATATCTTCGCTGATCAGGCAGCGGAGACAGTAGATGATTGCAGAGTACGTGACAGCTTCGGGTGCATTGATGTTGCCGTAGACTTCTGGCCCAGTGCCAGTGAAGTCAAAAACGGCCTCGCCCTTCTCTGGGTCGATAGTAACTTTCAGACGAATAGGGCTACCATCGTCCATGAACTCTTCTGCGGAGAGGTCCTGGCCCTCGAAGCGTTTGTAAACGTCCTTGAGTAAAGAGCGCACGGATTGTTCCGCATTGGCTTGGATGGAGGTCATGTAAAACTTTACAACTTGTTCGCCGTAATCTGACATGAGTGTGCTGATCAAATTGATACCTTTCTGATTTGCAGCGACCTGTGCTTTGAGATCGTTGATGTTGTCGCTTAAGCACCGCGTTCCTGAACATCCTGGGTACTGGCCGGGTTCATCAAACAACAACTCAACTACCCTCTTTTCGTTGAAATGTCCCTCTGAGACAAGTTTTTCCGACTTGATGGCAGCGCCCTCCTGGTAGAGCTCCTTGGAAGCCGGAGGCATGGAGCCAGGTAGGATACCACCAATGTCTGCATGATGAGCACGTGAAGCAACATAAAAGAGAATTTTGTCTCCAGAAAAGGCAGGTGTAATGACCGTGATGTCAGGTAGATGCGTTCCGCCAAACATGGGGTGATTGGACATGACGACGTCGCCCTTCTTTAGCTTTCCCTTCCATATGGCGGCTTGCTTGCGAACACAAGTAGACATACTGCCCAGGTGAACCGGCAAATGGGGAGCTGCAGAGCTTTAGCTATGTACTTTTTTGACGACTGCAAAGACTTACCGTTTGCAACTAGCCCGCCATTCTCATCGAAGAGTGCACAAGAATAGTCTAACCGCTCTTTTACATTGGTAGACACACTAGTTTTCTGCAGTGCCCGACCCATCTGCTCTGCGATTGCCATGAAGCGATGGGCGAATATGCTGAGTAGGATGGGATCTACCTCTTTTGTGTCGATTGGCTTCTCCATGCCATCACTCTCCCCAATGTTGATCACAACATGTGTATTAAGAACAAGCGCAGTAGCGCTAGGTGTTACAACAATCGTTTGTGTGCCATCTGCAATGATGGCTGGGCCTCTGACTCTGTCGCCTACATCCAGATCTTCGAGTTTGTAAATAGAGGTGTCTTGACGACCACCCTCGAAGAAGACTTTACGACTATCGTATCGCTTTGCATCGCGGGGTAGGTCCTTCGGTGTGATTTCCTTGAGCTGTTTATCAACACTCTTCTCAAGACCTTGGAATGATTTTCCAATACCACGGGCACGCACGTCGTCAACGATGATATCACGATCCGGTAGCGTGAAACCAAACTCCTGATCATGCTGCTTGACAAAAGCTTTGCCAAACGCCCACTCATCGCCGTCATACTCTTTCTCCGCTTCTTCCTTTGTTGGCTTGACGATCATAAGAGCAGACTCTGTGCCACGATACCTCAAGTTGAGATACTCTTCGAATTGAATGTTCTCTTCTCGGAATCCCTGCTCTTTCAGCGTGGCGGTGGATTTGCTCTTTAAGTCGGCCATTTTGTTCTGCAGATATTCTCTCACGTCTTTCTGGTCGGACCAGACTTTAGACTCAGGTTCTTGTCGTTCGTCTACAACGTCGGCTAGGGCCATGCCGTATGCAGATAGCACAGACGAGTATCGATGTATCAGGATCTGTGAGATTCCAAGGGCTTCCGCAATAGCAACCGCATGTTGTCCTCCTGCGCCACCGAAAGTAGCAAGCCTGTGTTTGGAAGTGTCGTGTCCACGCGCTTCAGTCAAGCTGCGGATAGGTCGAGTCATCGTTTCGTTGGCGATCTTGATGAAACCATTTGCGATCTCGTCCAGAGACATTTCTTTTTCTTTATTACCGCCAGCTACTTCCTGATTGATTTGTTGTGCCAGCTCCTTAAAAAGCTTTTCGCTGGCTGTAGCATCCAGGCCCTCATCTTCATTCTTGCCAAAGATTTTGGGGAAGAAGTCGGGTAAGAGACGACCGAGAAAGAGGTTGGCGTCTGTGATGGTCAAAGGGCCGCCTTTACGGTAACATGCTGGTCCGGGATGTGCGCTAGCAGACTCAGGCCCAACTACAAACAATCCATTCTTCCAGAAAAGCCGTGATCCACCTCCGGCTGCGACGGTGTTGATATCTAGCTGAGGCGACTGAATAGTAACACCTGCAGTGGTTGTCTCGAAAACATGATCGTACCGCCCGGAACCATATCTGCTCACGTCTGTACTGGTCCCGCCCATGTCGAAGCCGATGACAGGGATCTTCGTCTCTGAATCATATGATGTGAGTGCGTATCCCACAACACCTCCAGCCGGCCCCGAAAGAATGGCTTTCAGTCCAGAGAAAATGTCGACGTCGACTAGCCCACCATCCGACTGCATGAATTCGCATCGCGCACCCTTGGAGCCCTGCTCTTTCTTGACACTCTTAGATCCAAGACCACCTTCAAATCCTTTAGAGAAGCCATCAATGTATTTGCGAATGGCGGGTGTGAGATATGCGTCGGCGCAGGCTGATGTTGCTCGTGGCACCAATTTGATCATGGGCATGAGCTCGTGACTCAAACTGACATGCTCGAAGCCAATTTCTCTGGCTATCTTCCCAACCAAGGCTTCGTGGTTGGGGTACGTGTATCCATGCATCAAGCACACGGCGATGCTTCTTAAGCCGCTGTCATAGACGTCTTGCAGTTGCCTCCTTATCGCCTCCTCTTGCGGTCTTTGTAATATCCTGACTGTCTCTCCAGAAAGGCCTCTTACCAACTCAGCGTCTGGGCCAGCCTCTTCAATCGTCTTCGCATCTGTCGATGTTCTCTCTGGATCCTCGGCGTAGTCCTCCAGTGTAACCCTCTCATCGATTTCAACGACGCGCTTGTACAGGACCTCTGGCTTCCGTATATCCAGCGCAAAGATGTTTGGTCGACTCTGGTTTCCAATCTCCAGACAGTCTTTGAATCCCTTGGTCACGACCATGGCGATGTTTTCACCCTTGCGCTCAAGTAGGGCGTTGGTAGCCACCGTGGTGCCCATGCGTATACTCTCGATTTTGGACGTATCAAGCGGCTGGCCGCGCGGGATTTCAGTGCCAGTGAACTTGGATAACAGACGCCTGATACCTTCGAGTGGCGCATCATCATAGTTGGAGGGGTCGACAGAGAGAAGTTTGATAATCACATCATCTTCCATCCGACCTGTACCCGGATTCCCGACACAGTCTGTGAATGTTCCGCCGCGCTGAGTGGTCAGATTCGGCTCCAAAGCTCCACGAGAACACATACATCTATCGCAATGCGGATACCGCGCCCACTGATTTGTGTTGTCGCCATGGCAAAGGTTGCCTATCTAGCAAGGCGGTTACAGTGTTCCTGCTCCCGCTTGCAAAACTGGTGATGTTGCGCGACTTGGTATCTAGGCAGAGAAAGATTCAGTGGGATCAAACAGCACGTTATCATGACAGGTGGGAAGCAGACGCGAAGAAACGTGTGTGATTATCTACGTAAGTACTACGAAGGATGAACAGGAGCGGGGTTCTCACTGCCCCGCCATAGGGTAGTTTGTAACAGAGAGTGGTTTGTAATCCCGAACTCCGATATCGCGGGCCGACTTCGAGTCCGGCAGTCCAGTTCAGCCTCGCTATCATTCTGCCAGTGCTTGTCTTGACAACTACATCGCTATTCAGGCTGTCGAAATTGCAACTGTTCTTGTTCAACAGCAACAGCAAGACTTCGTCCATTCGTACCGGTACCCGAGAAGGCCGTGGCCAATCATCTGTGCCTGTGGAATTCGATGTTCTATCCCTCAGCTATTACCGGTATCTAAGTGTGGATTTATTCCAGTCGCGCCGCCATAATGTCCGAAGCAGGCCTAATGGCTATGGGCAGAGGCTTCAAGTAATCGACTTGTTTCGAGAACCGAACTATGATGTGGTACCATAGATGTACAGCATAGCTAATTCAACCAGTGATATACCATATTATCAAGCTCGATTCCCGGTCGCGTTATGGACTCCCTACCCACACATTGGCAGTCTTTGCCTCCCGTAATGACCCGTTACACTCCACCGTTACTTCGACGCATGCCCTTGAACTTGGAACACTTCACATGCATTCGCGAGCAAAGGGATCTCAAGCCTCGGATTATTTCTACATGGTCCTGATCCAAGTTAGTCCACAAGCGAACACCTCCCCAGCTGATCCTGGGGAACCTCATTTCCCCGCATCTCAATAAACGTCAATACAGGGGTAATGCTGGAGATGCGAGGAAACTCATGCAACTTATCCCAGCTTTGGGACCACTCGTCGAAAACTCGTCCGACCTTTTCAATGACTACCTTCCAAATGCTGATATGCCTCCGTAGCTCGCATTGAACATGCTTTTGGCAGAACAAGGCGTTGATCCATGGAACATGCCCACACCTGCAAAGAAGGGGAATCCCTTGCAAAAATCTAACATACAGAGTGAGGGGAAATGCACGCAATCACTATACGCAAGGAGAAAGATATCACCCTCAAAATTCTGCATATAAGAGTCTCATGAAATCACTGTTTAAACTCCCCAGCGAATGAGTCCACGATCTCATACCATAATCACTTCCATCTCAAATTCAGATTCGATCCCCCACAGAAACTCACCATGAAGTTCACAAACACCATCACCACAATCACCCTCCTCGCAACCAGCGTCCTCGCCCAAACAGCCTGTGACCCCGCGGCCTCTGCAATTCCCACCTGCGGTGTACGTCCGCCCCCTTCTCCTCCCATCTGACAACAACCTCTTTGTTCAAACTATCCCTCAAAACCCTCAACACCTTCAACCCAATTCCTCCCCTCACACCAATCTTCTCCAACTCTCCCACTCCCGCCTAATACCCACCTAACCACCCCAAAGCTCCCCTGCATATCCTCCGCCGCCTCCGCCGTCGGCTGTACAGACGGCGACTACCGCTGCCGCTGCACCAGCTCCGACGCCATCCAGTCTTCAGCCATCAACTGCGTGATTGGCAACTGTGGTATCCCTGGCGCCTTGGAGGTTCAGGCTAGTGGCAGTGCAGTGTGTGCGTGTGTTGCCACCGCGCCTGCAAAGGTTATGGCGGTTCCTACTGCGTTTTAGAAAGGGGGAGTGCAGAGTTAGGGTAGGCGAGAGGGCATGTGGTGGGTCTGTGTGTAGATGTAAATGGTTGAATGGCTATGTTGTAACGTTGTTGTTGTTTGGTGATCGTTTGATTTTGATCATGTGATGTGAAATATTGAGTGTACAGCTGGACTCTGGTGTAGTGTTTGCGGAGCTAGGTATGAGTACTCGGCATATTGAGGGTCAGGATATGCTAGATTGGAACGCAGTCGAGCTTCATCGTATAGTAGAACTTGCCGCATGTGATTCACGACTCAATACTTGTATCGGTACGACAAGTGACATGAAATGAATACAATCGCATTCTTATCGTGACTTACATCCTAACAAAATCTACACAGTCCGTTCCAACGCTTCACAGTGAAGGAAGCTGAGATCCAGCCAGACCATCCCACCCCCTCATTGTCGCAAACTCTTCACTCTCATAATACTTAACCATCTCCACCCACGTCTCCACCCACCCCCTCTTCTGCCACCCACTCTCCGCCACCCAAATCTTCTCATGAACAACATTCAAGCTCCCGTCCTCGTCTTCCTTGGGAAAAACACCACCCCACGTCCGCTCCAGCGTCGTCGCTGGAAACGGACCCGCTTTGCTGAACTGCCAATTGAGAAATGCCTGCTCAGCCATCAGACAATCGTACTTATCCGTCTTAACATAGTTTTGCAACAAGCGCTCATGCATGCGCAACGAGGGTGTAAAAACCATAGACCCAACATTAACATCTGTGCTCGTCCCACTCCACGGATCCTGCGCTACACCCGCAAAGACAAACGGTTCGCACACAGACGTGCCATCCGCTAGCACATCATCAGCCTGCAACTTCCCCTCTACGCACTGCTGCACGGGTGCAACGTCAAACATGCCATCGATGTTCGTAAGTGGGAACGCATCCGCGTCTAGGAATAAGATACGCTCGAATTCGGTTTCTCGCCACATGTTGAGCTTCGCAAACAGGTCTTTCCAGCGCTTCTCCACGCCGGGCACATTGGGAGTCCATATCACGGGGGCAAGCTCACGCACTATTGCGCCTGCGCCGGAGAGCAGCGTGCGTTGCTCTTCCGTTACGTAGTCGCTTACGAATACGACGAAGGGGTATTTTGAGGTGCGCGAACGCGGGGACCAGAGAACGCGGTGGATTAGCGAATGGATAGCGAGAAAGTAAGGGTCATGGATGGATGGATTTCTCGTTGCCATAAAAGTAGCGTAGGCATATGTTGTGGGTCCATTGGGGTTGTAGTTATGTGGCGCACGCGTTGCAAAGTCTTGGAGGATGGTAAGGGGTAGTTCCAAATCTAAGTCTTGCTGGAATGGAAGATTAGGGTTGTGCTCCAAGGCTCCAGATCCTGATGGCGGTGGTAGTTGCAAAGAGAGTTCTTGCTCATTCTCTGTTACCAATGGCAATGCGTGGCCTGCGTCCGGTACCCCAGATTCTCCAAGTGGTTGTACGGAAGCTTCGACTACGGGTGGCGCCAGTGGTGTTAGTGCCACGCCGTCTCCATGTCCGCCTTTTGCTTGGCCATCAGGAACCTTTATTAGCACTGTGTAGTCCGATTTTGCCTTTGCGTTTTTTGTTATTGCCTTTTTCGATCGAGGCACTTCAAGCGCAAGCTCTCGGTCTCGTGCGCATAGCAATATGATGCCAAGGATCAATAGTGTTGAAAACGCCACGTTCTGTCGTCTCTTCATGTTCGCTGTCCATTTGTGATTGAGGAGTCGGAGGGATCCCTTTCTCCAAATTCATTCGGGATATGCCAGACCTCACGTGCGACTCAGGGCGCACAATGCGGGGGGGGGGGGGGGGGGGTTGGCATAGACTGGAGCTCGAAATTGCTGATTGTGGTAGGCACTGCGCCCGATGATGGAGCTGTGTATGTTCCCATTTCACATGTTCGGTAATTTGGACTGTAAAGTCTGAAGGCTGGTAAATACATGCCGAAGTATTGGCAATGATCAACGTTGGAGCAAGGACAAGCGGTTGAGTTCTGAGACTGTTCCCCGTGGGGTGCTTACGGTACCTAGCGCCGGAGCAAACGCCGCATTGGGTGATCTATGCACGGCAAGCCTACCTCGACGTTCCCCATGTTCTTACTCACCTGCAGTTTACACACCTGCAGTAGCGATGCATGTGGCATTCAATTGAAAAATCTTGGTGAAGTCCACACGATACCGAGGAGAGCATCCTCTGATCGAGGAAAGCACTTGTCGCGTAAAAAACCCAGAATGAATTGGAAGCAAATTCACGCCATGTGAATTATGTTCATGATAGGTAGCCTCTGGATGCCAATTCCAGAAATAAAGCGCTCATGGACATATTCCATTATTACGAACTTGTTTGGTTGAGATCCGTTCGATTACTTCTGTGATCAGAGCTGGTATGATCAGGATCGAAGCCATCGGAAGGATCGCTGAAGCCACTGAAATTGCTACAGATACCATAGATGTGGGCCAATTTGCTACCCAAGGCTCAGAGGCAATGAGCTTCCCTGCTGGGCCAAGTAAACATGGATTCGCGATCCAAAGAGCCTCGTCTATCGCCGCGATGATTGTGGTTCTGCCAACATTTTCTTGTAGAGCCAAGTCGATACTTTCACACTCGGCTCATCAATCAGCTTCGTTACGACCTCAGCTGCGTAGAGCGTGACCGGGAAAATGACGATCTGAGATAACCAGAAAGCTGGCTCGAGACCCATTGGACCTTTCTTTGACAGCGGGAACTTGTTTACCCATCCTGGAATACCAGCTTCATGCTCTGCTCTGCTTAATCCCACAGCCGCGTATATGCGATCAGCAATCACCCATATGACTGGCCCATGAATAAGGTACAGAGCAAATGAAATACGTGCAAGGTATTGACAGGTCCGACTTTCGAAAGAGCGCTTCAACCAAGGTAGTCGTGGTACTGACGCGACTGTGAAGAGAGCCGCCCAAAACAGGTAGAACCACTTTGCGTCGAACACTGCTTGTGGTTTGAGGTGAGATAGCCATCTCCAGCCTGGCGATTCGGTTAGGAGTGTATACCGATCGAATTCCGTAGTGTCAAATGATGGCACACCACCAAGATACATCGCCACGATGAACAAGTGGAAAAATAAGAATTCCTTGAAGCCCGCCAGTACCGATAGAAACTTTGGCAGCTTCTCCGCCTGTGCCAAGAGATCCAAATCGCAAAGTAGCATACCAGCCATAAAAAGCGCACAATGATAGCCATCAACGATGTATAGGAAGTAAAAGATCAAGGCTACTTCACACCAGAGTCGCGCATTTCTGGTACATCGAGCAAACGCGGGTAGGGCAGTATAAACTACAATCGAGCCTTGGAACTCCAGTGGAATTGTCCATGTATGCGGATGGTAAGACTGCGAGAATTCCAGCTGGCTGGCTGAAAATATGAAGCTATAGCTCTTAAATGTTTCGTACCAGTGCCTGGCATCTTCGCGAAATGAGCCACTCATGTCGTGGATGTTCATCCAAACGCCAGTTGCATGTCGCATACAAAGCCAGAGGAAAGTGACAGCCATGATGGGAATATATAGTCGCAGCCAACGACGAAAGAGAGCAGACCCGATGACATCCATAATGCTTTCTGTCTGTCCCTTGTGAACAAGGCCCATTGATTTGACGGAAAGGACATATCCAGAAATGACGAAAAATATCGTCACGGCGAAATGGCCACCAGAGAATGCAGTTCGTACAAAAGGCAGAGCAGCAAAGTAATGTTTGTCTTGATAGCCAAACGAGTTTTCGAATACGATGTTTCCCTTCATGCCGTGGGCCCACAGTTGATTGTGGTGAAGATAGACCAGAAAGGCGGAAAAGCCACGCAAACCGTCAAGCCAAGCCGTAGGGCGAAGAGAGCTGGTCCTTGGGCTGCTGGGTCGTAGTGAGAGGAATTCGGGGCGTAAAATGTCGAGGTTCCATCTCCCACATCGAGTAGGCTTCCATGTTGCGGGGTGTAGGCTGACCTCTTCCATCTGACAGTGGTCTAGGAGTCCATTGAGTTTGGAAGGCATTGCATAGGAGACCTGCAAGTTTCGTTGTCGACTGTATGTTCAATATCTGTCTTGCTCGCGACGTTCTGCTTTCACTGTAGCGTTCCAGGCTAGATGTAATCAAACCTACTGTTGGTGCCTGGGCTATTAGACGGGTAGTTCCATAGCGGAAGAGTGGCACATGCGCTCACACGCAGTTCATGCATACCGAGGCCCGTGAAGAGCTCTACCTACTATCATTGGACAATTTCTGAACTCAATACCTTACTTGCGGGGATTTGGATCACACACACTACAGTATGTATGAGCGGGAGGTTGGCGCATGCATGGTAAACAAGGTTGCTCGATCCATGTACTTGACCTCTGTTCCTGGCTTGATAGGGCCATGGCCCTTGCAGGCTCATGCAATGTAGTGGCACTGTGTATTGACAATTGTGGATCTGGTGCCAAAAAGGTTGTTTCAGCCGAAGGGATGGCGGCGAGTGCTCGTATAAGCTTTCGACTTAGCCGCCTTAGTTTAACCTTCTTAGCTCCGCAGATCGATGTGTCGCAACGACCTCATGACAAGCATGCAGTGTGCTTCTCGATTTCCTGTCGCACCCTAATCATTCCCCGTCATCCCTCTAGGTACCAAGATACCGAGGATCGTCCAGGGAAAATGATTGGCTCTACCGGAACGAAAACCTAAAAGGGTCAAGAGGCTTTGGCATCTGGATCTACGTACCGGTATGTGTGGACATTTAGAGCTTAGGCGAGATTAGCAAAAGGTGCAGCGGGTGCTACAATGCTGTGATAACATCAGTATGCGCACACGATCAATGCCACCTCCGCCAAAGCTTCGCTTGGACACCAGAATGCCTCCTCACTCCCCAATCGCGTCGCACTTCTCAGGAAAACTCACAAGTCAAGTCAGAAGGGTCCTACCAGCATATCTTGCCATCGTGTTCTTCTTCCTCTTCTTCACAAACACCCATTTCTTCACGACTCCAATTCGTGCTGCCCACAGATACCGACGAGAGCTCAGATACCAACAGCTACTACAGCCGTCAACTTCCGTCATTCCAAGGAAAATCTGGCAAACGTGGAAAGTTGGATCGGTTTTCTTTGAGCAACGTGATTCTGACTCTGCAAAGACTTGGCTGGCGAAGAACCCTGGATATCGCTATGAGGTTTTGACAGATGACAACGCCCTTGAATATCTTGACTGGCACTATGGGCCCCAGGGATTCAACCGCCCTGACATTGTGGAGCTCTATCGCGAGCTCAACATTACGATTATCAAAGCCGATCTGTTGCGGTATCTCGTAATGTACGCAGAAGGCGGCGTATATGCGGACATTGACGTGGAATGCCTGCGTCCTATCAACCGATTCATACCTGACCGATATAAGGAGGAAGACGTGGACATGATAATCGGCGTCGAGATAGATGAACCTGCATTTATCAATCATCCTGTGCTCGGATCCAAGTGCTCATCATTTTGCCAATGGACTTTCGCCGCCAAACCTCGACTGCCTGTCATGATGAGGCTGATTGAGAACATCCAGGACTGGATCCACGATCTCTCGAACGAAAAGAGTGTACCAGTATCAGAGCTCGAGTTGGATTTCAACGAGGTCATCAGTGGGACCGGCCCCTCGGCTTTCACAAAAGCGGTGTTGGAGCAAATGACTGCTCAAAACCAAGGCCAGGAAGTCACTTGGGATGCCTTCCACGACCTCGCCGAGTCGAAACTCGTGAGCGGCATATTAGTATTGGACGTTGAAGCTTTTGCTGCTGGCCAGGGACATTCCGATTCTGGCAATCATGACTCTCGGGGAGCTTTGGTCAAGCATCACTATCATGCCTCCGGTTGGCCGTCTCGTCATCCGAGGCACAATCATCCAATGTATGGCGAAGTGGAACAATGCAATTGGAAGCCAGAATGCGTCGCTGAATGGGTGAGTTCATTCACCAAACCGCCATACAGAAGAGTTTAGCTAACTTTATATAGGACAAGAACGTTGCTGAATGGGAAACGCTCTCAAAAGAGGAACAAGGGAAGCGAATCGCTAGCAAGCCAGCGCCGCCTGCTGTACATAAGCCTCATTGGTGAGAAATGACCTGACACAATTACCATTACTTGCACGTACCGTTAAGATCAATGATGCCTCAAATAATGCCAGATACTGGCGGTGTCTCCACAACAGAAGAATGATGGAATCTTCATCTTGGTGGTCCATGTCCTGGAGGGGACTGTAGGTACATGATAGGAGAGCAGGTTTTCAGTACCCACGAGCCACCGACGATATCAGGAAAGTTTCATATCAAGTTCAACGCGGCAAGATAAGCCGCATTGTATAGCACGGCTGCTAGAGCAGAATCATGGTGGCGCGAGTCTATAATAGGCCATAATTTGATCGTGAGATAATGTTCTCTACATGTGTGCCTACCTTAACATCTTACTAATTTGACATCCAGAACTTAGGACGGACGTCCGCTCCCCCATTACCCTAAAAGCCTAAAACCAAAAAAGAACTTACAATTTATGGAAATACGAGTTAAGGTACGTAGAATGAGACATGTACGTAGGTTACTAGTACGTGCACGCTTCTAGCATTAGGCTCTGCCTTGTATTGACTCATCATCCAAAACCCTCCACATATTATACTATACTTAATTGTAAAAAAGATCTATGGATACTCTTCCGTGTGCGGGTAATAGCGTATTCTCTGCTCTAGGCACCAATCGCTGCAAGTAAGGCTGTTATATAGGTGCGGGAAGTGAAGTGAAGTAATAAGGTTTACTATCCTACCAAAGAGCGATAGAGGTGGTAACTGTACCAATTTAACACCATACACCCTAAGAACCATATGCAAATGCACAGTGCCTGCTACGAAATATGAATGGCTCCTGATTTAGTAGAAACATGAATATATAGCTAAGCAGGAACATTAAAGACATGTCTTCTAAAAGCAAAGCAAGATTTTTGTGAATATGACACAATGTAACGGCATAGCTATGGAGCGCTTGTTAGTCGCCTAGTGTTTCAAGTGCTTTGGGCTTTGGGCAGAATCATGATAAGATTAATCACCACTGGTTCTATAACAAGATCAACCACAAAGATTTTTCTTTAGATCCTTTACTTCGCAGTAGTTGCACTAATATTGCTTCAGAGTCTCTAATGGTTATAGTTCCTGACCCTAGTGAAAATCTGCATCTGCTACTTGATATTTAAGTGTTAACTGGACCACCTACTAAGGGTCGTTCCCCAAAACCTAGATTATGGGTTATTTAGTTTATCAAAAGTACTACGCTAAAATCTTCTTGCGGGGCTTGGTTTGTTACGGTGCACGAGAATTTGTTGCGAAGCATCGCAAAGCTATACAAGATACCCAGACTAGAATCATACGAGGATAAAGGGGGAAGGACTGAATGGTACTGCTTGTTAAAAAGTTACAAGCTTGACCTTTGCCCAAGCTAGCTTAAGCTTTAAGTTGATCGAAAGACGCATTCTAAATGAAGAAGCAGCCAAATACAATTGAAAATAACACAAGCAGTGGTCAGATCTTTACTATAAGCTACTAATAGACTCACTGTAGCCAATATATGTAAGTTAAAGGAAGGCCTGTGTACTACATAAAACACCTTGAGACACTTATTTGATCATTAATACTCACTGCATCTACTTCTTAGGGTCAGGCCAGTCCACAAAATTCTCCCTTCTACGACAAAATCATCGTAAAGCGCAGCTGCACGTTGGGTAGAAATTAACTTCTGCACAATTAGGAGGCCATCGCGGCCATGTTCATAGTGTGCGATGGGAACTGGAAAGTGGGGGCGAAAGGAGTGACAAGCCAATCATTCTAGTTTCTTCAGCTCCTTTTGAGTGCTCTGGAGGTTTGCCTTTGTGTCGAAATGTTTTATACTCGTTGCTGAATTTCCTTCCCTTTTCTCTTTTTCGGAAATATAATTAGAGTTAGAATGTGTTGCACAACGTTGTTTATTATGCGAAAAGGGAAGTGAAGCCTTGAATGACATCTATTCTCGATTAATCGGGAGACAAATATCAACTGACAATGCGCATGGTATTCGTACTTCAATAGCTGCTAGGTGGAACGTTGATGACAAATCTACAGTGATATGCAAATGTTATTGATCTTTGCCTGGGAAGTTCAGTTACGTAACTAACATATGGGAGGAAGCCAAGATAATTGTCACCGGAATCCTGTGATGAACCCTAGTGCTAATTTACCTCTAGACAAGTATCTGAACACTAACCTAACTAATGACTGTTCAGCTAGCATACATGTTATCAAGATACTATGAAGGGCGCGTTATGATTGAAAGAGGTGAAGTAGGAGAATTCCTGGTCATTTTTTACCAAAATTCAAGTTTTTGAAAGTTTTCGTGATGTTGGTGATTGCGTCTTCAACGGGAAGTCGCTCCATACTACTCGCTCCATAGAAACCATGAACTCCCTTAGTGCGGCTGATAACATACTCTGCGTCTTCTGGCCTGGCAATCGGACCGCCATGACATAGCACGATAATGTCTTCCTTAATTGCTATAGCGGCATCTCGAATCTCCTGAATTAGTTTGACGCATTCGTCCAGTGTCTTTCCGCTATTTGCACCAATACTCCCACTAGTGGTGAGTCCCATGTGAGCCACTAGAATGTCTGCGCCTGCGTGCGACATCTTCTGTGCTTCTTCCACGCTGAAAACGTAAGGTGTGGTAAGGAGGTCCATAGCCCGAGCTTGGCGGATCACCTCAACCTCTGCGTCGTAGCTCATGCCCGTTTCCTCAAGGTTCTGTCGAAAGGTGCCGTCGATCAAGCCAACAGTAGGGAAGTTTTGAATGCCGGCAAAGCCCAAGTCTTTGAGTTGTTTCAAGAATCGAGACATGTCGCGAAAAGGGTCAGTTGCGCAGACACCGGCGAGCACTGGAGTCGACTTGACGATTGGCAGAACTTCTCCAGCCTTAGTTTAGTTAGTTGATTAGGTCCATAATATCACCTTGGGACCGTTATACCATTTCCAACACCACGTCATTTGCATTACCATAAGGCATCAAGCCTGCCAACGAACCTCGGCCTGCCATTCGGTAACGACCACTGTTATAGATGATGATCAGATCACCTCCGCCTTGCTCGATGAACTTTGCCGATAATCCAATCCCAGCGCCTGCGCCGACAATGATCCTTCCTTCCTCAATTGTCCTGCGAAGATTTTCAAGGATAACATTCCTATCACTTGGTGGAGACATGATCAGGATCGAACTTGATCGGATGACGATGGTATGGGTTGCATTGGACGATCGGAAGCTTTTGAAGCGTACCGGTACCGGTAGAAGGAACGAACGCCTGATGACGTAACCAACTTGAAGCGAACGGAGCACGACCAAGATCACATTCAAGATCAACTCCAGAACAGCCTATACCATCAACGACATTGCTCTTCTTCGTCACAGTATCAACATAGGACGCAGATATGAAAACAGAATCTGAGATGATTCCGAACATTGCCATACTTGGCACGTGCGATACCAAGCTTGAAGAGTTGCTCTTCTTGCGCGACGAGATATTAATGCACAACGTCAATGTCACCTTGATAGATGTCGGTCAAAAACCCATCAAAAGCGATGCGATATCTCTGAGCCAAGAAGAACTGGTAAAGCAGCATGGCAGCAAGGAAGACTTGGCTCAACTCCCACGAGGAGAGGTCATCAAATTCATGGCTAGATGTGCCACAGCCGCAGTTCATTCCATGTTTGAAGAAGGTGGTGTTCACGCAATCATCGCGGCCGGTGGATCTGGTGGCACTTCCCTGGCTGCACAGGTTATGAGAGATGCATTGCCTGTTGGATTCCCCAAATTAATCGTCTCCACTATCGCCAGCGGGGACACAGGCCCTATCATACAAGAGACGGACATAACACTCATGTATAGTGTTGTGGATGTGGCGGGACTAAATCAAGTACTACGTAATATTCTCAGTAATGCAGGGGCAGCTATTGCTGGCATGGCACAAGCGTATGCATCAAGAGTACAACCGCCAGAATCTTCAAGCAAGAAGCGAGTAGGCGTGACAATGTTCGGCGTCACAACACCTGCTGTGGATACCATTCGCAAACATCTTGAGTCAAACTACAAAATCGAAGCGTACGTGTTTCACGCGACTGGTCATGGCGGTAAAGCTATGGAGCGACTTGTCCGTGAAGGGGCTATCGATGCGGTATTAGATCTGACCACGACCGAAATTTGTGACCACTTAACTGGAGGAATCATGAGCGCCGGACCGCACCGATTAGAAGCTGCAGCCGAAGCGGGAATACCCAACATCATATCCGTTGGAGCGACTGACATGTCAAATTTCGGTCCCATTAGCACGGTGCCAGAGCGATATCAAGGCCGCAAACTCTACGAGCACAACCCAGTCATTACTCTCATGAGGACTTCGAAAGAGGAGTCGCGCGAAATCGGCTTGTTCATTGCTGGCAAGATTCGAAATCACGCGAAAGACCCCAATGCGATAGAAGTGTGGTTACCAAAAGGCGGCGTAAGCGCAATCGCCACACACGGCCAACCGTTCGCAGATGGAGATGCAGATGCAGCCCTTCGTGATGCTGTTATCCATGGACTAGCGGGTAGTGGAGTGCGTATTGTAGAGGATGATCGAGATATCAACGATGAAGGCTTTGCACAAGATATCGCGGACACGCTGGCCATGAAAATGGGCCTCATCAAGTAATCAGACCGGAAACATCGAGTCGCGTAAACAAGTGTTACCTTTTGTGTCGATTTCTTGACAAATCCAACTTATGGTCTTATAGCTCTTGAATATCGAGTAGAACTACTGCGAGAACAATTCTTGGGAATAGTTAGTTGGCGTTCTTTTTATTGAGCGAACGATCCTGATCTCGCTTTCATTCGTTACGCATTGTGTCACTATGCATAACATGCACTGAATCAATACTTAGCCGTTATGAACTCAATCACACAGAGTCCGACGATGTTTCTAATTTTCTGTTGTATCCATGTCTTTCCAAAGCAATTCTTATAAAAAAGGGGCTGCCCAAGTAGTCGCCTTACTTACATGATTCTTATCGGAGGCGCTCTCAGATCCCTAATCTTGACGTGTGATGATGTTAGACTCAAGTACTGTGCAAAACTATCAACTCGGGCGCCAGGCCGACTTCACAGCCTGGCATAAGAAAGACCAAGATAATTGGTGAATTGTCAGGATTCCGGCTTTGACAGGAGCTGCCATAAATCAATAAGGAATACCTTTTGCGGAGCTTTGACAGAGCGCGAAAAACTTTCTATCAATTGTCCTCCCACGTCTGTTACAATCTACGCGATTTCGCTTAAGAGGTGAATATTTTTTCGTCTATCGTTTCATCAAGGAGACTGTATGGCAGTGTAGAAATAATTTGAGTAGTCGGGGCTGGGTTCTCTAGCTTTCGAATAACTGTTAACGTGCATACGGCGGGCTTGTGCTACGCACTGACTGAAGGGATAAATGCTTAGAAGGCAAGGCTTGTACTGAAGAGATGTCCTCCATCGATGATTTAGTCGAGCTGTGACCCGGATCAATACTGTGGCGTCAGGGGAGAGTTGCGCAGTCACTCCATTGCTCAAGAATAAAGCGAGACTCTAAGCTTACCGGTAGTCTCTGGCCACAACATACCCTAGGTCCTAGCATGAAGGGGCAACAGGATAAGTCACAACAAAACAATCTTCTCATGACAAAGGACTATAGATAAGAAGAGATTAATCTTAGCCTGCGTCATTTAGGCGCGACTGTTAGCTAGTGATGAATCAGATGTAACACGTTACCAAGATTATCTGTACTCTATCCATATCTCTCCTATCACTCACTTTATTCACGTCTGCCATGCCGTTTCTTCACTATAGTCTTTTTTGTCTATCTCTGCTTACCTCTATACTCTCCCTATAACCTAGAGAGAGGGTCTATTTGGGCGGAGGAGGGGCAGGTATGAGCAATACTCGAGACTACGCGTATATCTGAGTTTAGCGTCGGCAGAGGATCCTGCATCATGACTACGCCTGATTCGCGGGATAGGAGGTATTGCTGTGTAAGCTGGCGGGATGTTGTACGGGACATCAACAATGCATGGCATTGTGCAGAGAATTCATATCAATCAGCAGCGTGAACTCATGCAGGGGTAGTCGTCTGAGATTGTAATGTCTTGGGGGTTCGGAGCATCAGCACCCGAGCAGGCTGAACATTCGCATGTAGCGCAGTCTAGAATCTACCTACACTTCACCATAGGTCTGTTTGTACAGTACCTGCTCCCTCGGATTGATTACCGCATTTCTCAGCAATGTATAATACTCGAGCTTTCGTCTGGCAGTAATACGTGGTTTGGTGCAGGCACCCGTGGAGGCCGGTTCATCCCGGTAGTATGCAGTATCGGTCAAGAATTTTTCCCGATACATTGCGCCTATCACCATGGCTCCTGCATATCTACGTCCTTTGCAGTTGGCCGTCACCTAGTATGTATGCATGGTTGCCCTCTGGAACTTCCATTCGTCCCCGATCGGACCAAGGTGAAGCCAAGCTTGCGCAATGATTGTTAATCAGAGTGTTCTGCAGCCTGCATGGAACCCCAAAGTTTTTTCACCTCTAGCGATATATATTACAATTTCCTAGCTCCTAGGGCTGCCAGTTGCAAAATCAGGACACTCACCACTATTGCGATTATCAATCAGAACCATGGCTCCACTCAATGAAATGTTGACGCATGCCCTTCTCGACGAGGTTAACTCATTCTGGTTTCGTCACATGCCAGACCCCGACAGCATCATCGCCCCAGATGTAGCAGATGCGGGGCCGTGGTTTTCCGCCACTGAGGATTTCGACAAGGAATGCATGTACGTATGATTGGGACTATGCGTCTTTCCACCGTCGCAAAGAGATATCCTAACAACATCACCAGCGAGAAGTTTGGTCCAGTCCTGGATACTATCAAAACAACCAAACCGAGTGCTGATGAGATTCTCGCCACTGCAAATCCTGCCACCGCTCTGCATTGGATGAGCTTGATCATTCTCTTGGACCAACTTCCTCGCAACTGCTATAGAGGCCCTGGAGTTGGTATTGCGTATAGCTTCTTCGATCCTCTCGCACTGGCTATCTCGTTACAAGCAATTGAACGCGGTATACCAAACGATCCAGCTGTTCGCTTCCGGCTCGCGTACAAGTTCTGGTTTTGCATGCCATTGGAGCATTCGGAAGAGCTGAAGATCCAGGAAAAGCTGAGCAATGAGCACGCTAACATGTGGGGGGAGATTGACAACCTGATCGAGAGTCCCGAGGGTGAAGCAAACAAAGAATTGGCGCAATATTGTGCGGCGTTCAACAAGAGACGAGAGAGTTATGAGAGGTTCAAGGGTACAATACAGGGTATTTGCGATAGTCACATGCACCAGATCCGGTCTTTTGGCCGTTACCCTTATCGCAACGAGCGGCTAGGTCGCGTTTCGACGAAGGAAGAGTTGGAGTATCTCAACCAGAAGCCATAGAAGCCACTTGTGCAAGTAGCATTCAAATTTCACAACAGTGTTTCATCGATTGAAAGCATGGAGGGTTTTTTTTATGTGCCTTAAAGAGACAGCTACTGCGCGACTTTCAGCAAGCTTTGCAAGTCTTTGCCTTCACTTTCAGACGACAAAAGCAAGATGCCCCTATCGGAATATCAGCAGACGCCAGAGCTATATCACGATGTATTCGTAGCCTCTGAGCTTCCTCATGCTTGTTGTTAGCAATCAGGCACTCGTACAGGCCATGCAAGGCCCAAACATTGTTAAGACGCGCCTTTCGGCGAGAGAGGGTCTTGCTAAGTCCAAGGTCCTCCAAGTATACCTTCTCTGATTCAACAGTTTGCCCTTGCTCAAGGAGGAGGGCGCCCAAAGCATGACGGACTGGTTGCATCCAGAGTGGTGGGTCGGCGTACGCAATTTGGCCCTCCAATTCAATACCATGGCGTAGAGAAGCAAAGGCTTCAGTGTAGTTGCCTTGGCGATATTGCAGTTCACCCTCAAGCATAGCTGACGCTATAGCAAAGACTGGTGCTGCTTTCGAGCTTGGCCCATATAGTCGATCTTCTGGCAAGGCTCGGCGGGCTTCCTCAAATTCCGCCTGTGCGATTTGAGCTTCCTCGATCCTTCCGAGAACGGCAAGTGCGATTCCTTTGGCGTATTTGATCGTCGTTGCTATGACAGAAAGCTTGGGATTTTTTGGCGGTTGAAGATCGAGGATATCCTCCCATTGCCCAAAGCGGATGAGAACATGCGGCATTGTTACAGCCTGCCACTCAGTCCAGTCGGCCATGCGCGGCTTCGAGGTCATGTATTCCTCAGTCAAGATCTCGCCGAGCCGTTTCGCACCGTACAAGGCCTCTTCGCGTCTACCAGCCATCATCGCAGCATATGACATGGCATGCACGTTGTGCGCTCGATACGCATTGTATATGAAGGAATCAACTTTCTCCCTCGAGAAATACACGTCATCTGAGATTATGGCGTTGAGACCACTGTCGATCGCACGGCCATAGTCACCACAAGCAACATCTATGTGGGTCGCCATGTGCTGCATGTGTGAGCCATCAGGCACGAGACGTCGCAATCGATTCGCGGCGGGTAGTGCCAATTCGGGTGTCAGTGTCATCTCCATCATGTGGATGTACAAGTGACAAGTACCAGGGTTTTCTCGACCACTAGCACTTGCCATTGCTTTCTCGAGTGCATGTCTTGCAGCTACTACATCGTCGCCTGTCGGCTCTCCGGTGTCGAGGTTCCATAGTTGGCGCGGTCGTGTGCACATCACCGAGTCTGCGTATAGAGTTGCAACGTCGGGATCATCGCCATATTCCTCGTAGACTTTTTTCATGGCTTCGGCGTATGCATAATCAAATGCTGACATCTTCTCCCCAGGCGTGTTGACATCGGGTGGGAATCGAGTGGCAAGTGCTGTGAGCAGGGCACGCTCCATAGGCTCGAAGTCTGTGACATTTTCTTCCGCAAGCGCGAATACCTCCAGTGCTTTTTTAATGGCAATCTCGCGTTCATCAGCCGTGAAGAGCCACCAAGGTTTGTTGTAATTCGGGCTGATTGCATAAGCCTGCCCCCAATATGCCATTGCACACTTTTTATCATCTTGGGCAGCTTGTTCGAAACACCTTAGTGCGGCTTCATGGTTGAATGAGTATGACCATACCAGGCCCCGATTCACCCACTTTAGAGCTTCGGCGGAATCTGTACGGCATGTTCTTTGGTATTTTCCCAAGTCGTAGTATTTGGTCGTGCCGTTTGCGCCGTGGCTAGTGACGTTAGCGTTCAGTCATGAGCTGTTTTTGAGCACTCTGTATACATACTCCATGTTAGTGCTTTGTCTAAATACCGCCGCGTTTGGCCCTTAATGGCAATGCGTCTGCAATCGACTTAGTGTCGTGGAACAAACTAAGCTTACGCTAGACAACTTTGGTGTGCGGATCTGTTTGGTTACCACAGACTGGATGCTCGGGGGGGTTCAGAGTAGAGAATCGCAAGTTCTTCAGCTGTACAATGATGTTGAGCATGAAGCCTTCGCATTCATTTAACATGGAACTCGCGTGGAATCGTCGCCTGCCTGACCTCGCTGGTCGGACCAAATTTCGTCCTCCATTTTGCGTCGTGGCAGAATCTTGGGTTGTTAGTCCTTACCGAGCCGGGTAACTGTCCCCTTAGGGTCAGGTTAGTCCGCCGACCCTCTGAGAGGCTCTCCAACTGCCGTGGTGTGGCAGATAAGTCCAGGAGGAAGCCTGAAGTTGATTTTAGCCAATCGCGACTCTTAGATACCACTGACCTTATGTAATCCTGCTTATGTCAGGTTTCGGGGCTCGCCAAGCGTATCCATTCCAGACTTTCAATTCCCACGCTCAACGAATGGTTCGGTCCTTCACCCTGGCCTCCACTCACTCATCACTTTGGACTATGCCTACCATACACTAGGTATCATCTTGGTCTTGGCACTGTCACCTCTCCGCTCCCTGCAATTGGCGAATCTCTCAGAATGCACCCCGGCCTCGGCCATTGGCGCCGGACGTCGGTACCATGGAATGGCCGGTCCGTCACGCCATGAACGAGGCGCTCAGACCGCCTTTTCATGCAAAGTAGGCCTCCAAGTCTCAAGTCTGCTGTAGTATACAGCTTTTTATACCCATGGTAGCTTAGTGCACTTGCTTGTCGTCGTGGTGTTGCACTGTTGATGGTGGGGTCGATCCGCCAAAGAAGGTTCCAGCAACACCAAGGTGCCGTACACTGAGGCAAGCAATCCACACATTTGTAAGTCTGTGACCGCATCCGGAAACATACTTCTCCTATGGCGCTTGATGATGATGCTTAGCCAGTCTCATCTGCTATGCACACATGCGGCGGCCGGACTGTGACGTTCCCTACCTTAACGACCTGGTCTTACAAATCGATGATTGTTAATCTGGGCCCAATTCTGTTGTTTCGACCGTCTATAAAGATGTCTAGTTCAAGCTCTTTCATCTAATCACATCCTCTCTCCGCTGTATCCAATCTGCTATTTGTAAAAGTTCCAGTCCCAAAGCCATCATCTCCCAAAATCATATCATCATGGCACCCACCATCACCAACGTCGCTCTCTCAGGTGTACGTTTGCTCCAACGGTTATGGTTTTGGCGCTAACATGTACTTCCTAGCCCACGGGTAACGTCGGAGCCCCCATTCTGAAAGCTCTTGTGGATTGCGGAAAGTTCAAAGTTACGGTCCTTACTCGTAAGGAAGGTCAAGAGGTTCCCAGTGGTGTAACCGCCAAAGTTGTCGACACAAACTCTGTCGAATCAATCACAGAAGCTCTGCGCGGTCAGGATGCCTTTGTTGACGCGTCATCTGGTCCCGACCCCGGCCTTCCAGGCCGGTTTGTCGAGGCAGCAGCCGCTGCCGGAGTCTATCGCATGATTGCCAGCGAGTTCAGTGTTGACCCTCGGAATACGGAGGCTCGCAAACCCTTGGTCTTCCATGGAAAGAACCTGGCGCTTCAGCAGCTGGAAAAGCTTGCGGCTGAAGGCAAGATCACATGGACCACGATTTCAAACGGTGCTTTCTTAGACTGGAACCTGCGCTCAGGCTTCATCAACATCGACATCTTCGAGAAGAAGATCAAGTACTTGAACGAAGGCAACACAAAGCTAGCCTGGACCATGCTTGCAGACGTTGGAACTGCTGTTGCAAACGCACTCATCAAGCACGAGGAGACCAAGAACCGTAACCTCTACATATCTTCCATCATCAAGACTCAGAGTGATGTGGCAAACCTAGCCAAGGAGGTCCTAGGAAGTGATGGATGGCAAGAGGAGCATCAAAATATGGATGAGAGGCTCAAGGCCGCCACGGAGAACATGATGGCCGGCAAAGTCGACATGGGCGTCATTGGCGATATGATCCGGTGGTCGACACAAGTACCTCAGCCAGCCTGGAACCAACAAGAGGACAACAAGCTATTAGGTGTAACGCCTATGAGCGACGACGAACTGCGCCAGCTCATCAAGAACGTCCGTGCCGAGCGCAAGTGATGGTCAGCGTGGGAACCTAATGTGGGAGAAGTTTAAGAAGTAGATTCGCGAAAGATACCAAAATCGAAAAACAATTCCCTTGAAGTGCAAACATTCATGCCCTGCAGCTCCTGTGCCACGTTGCAATCAATACCTATGCTCTTGGACACTTCACACAATCAGTATGATTCCAAGTTTGTCCATTGCTGTAACCAGGCCAAGACTAGTTTCAAGAGCTACCACTCAGACTGCATCGGAAAACCAGCTGATGCACAACTCAACGTGAGTACTTGAAGAGGCAGAATCTAGATGCTGGATCTTTGCAAGAAGTACACCATGGAACAGCTCCCAGTGCCGTATACCGCTTGTTGGCCCATGTACTCGAACACGACTGCGTTGTAACATCTGCTGCGACCTTGACATCGCGAGTTTTTGACGGTACGTGATTTGCAGCAATATCGATATCTAACTATATATGTATCCCACAAATGCGGTGGGGTAGAAGTGTTCACTTTGGCCTCAATTCCTGAGTGTGGCACGATCCGTCATGAATATGGGGATTATCAAGTGAGCTACTGACGAGCTGGGATTCAATCTATGTAATCTCAACAGTCATTTTAAACCTAGCATGAACTGTACTTTGTTCAGTGATTAGCAGAGAAAGACAAATGAAGGATAGGACATGGGATTTCACATCCAATTTCGAGACGAGATTAGGTAACCGAATTTCAGTGCGCGTATGGCGGTAATCTAGTTCCCAGTAGGGCGAGTGTTGCCATGTAACCCCGCTCCCCGCATGCGAATGCTAGACAGCAGAACATGCAAGTGTACGGGCCGTTAAGCGAAAGCCTACCTAGTGCATGCCTAGTCACTAAGGTACTCTGGAGTCTGGAATACCTAGTCAATCGACCAGTCTGTAGGGGCCCAGGCCTTGTAATAAACCGACACTGGCCATCAATCACCAGCCGCGCATCAAACGCCACCCGCCAACCTAGGTAGTCTAGTATGGAAGCCTCTGGACATACAGGTACTTCCCAGGTGACTTACCACTACCAATATCGAGTCAAGGTTCACAGAGTGAGGGTAGAAATTGTAGACATTGCAAGAAAGCAAATCATGGAAGATGATCATTGATCGGATGCCCGCTCAGGTGACGATTGAATGAACAACTCAGAAGCAATGCTAAGGGATGCTAGGATGCCACTCTCAACTGTAGGAATCTGCAGCCACCAAGACAACGAATGCTCAGGTATGCACATGCATGCACAAACTGTGGAACCAAGTTGAAAACACACCAATTCGCCGCTCTACAAGTTGATCTGCAGCCCCAGGGTCGCCTCCACAGTTGCCTTTCCAAAAAATGGCTCCGTTCCAGCATTACCAACATTCACAAACGTTTCCTGGCTGAACACGCCCACCTTCACAAGCTCCTGCAGCCATTCCTTGATATCTCCAGAGAAAGTTCCAGAGAATTGCTTGTCAGGAAGCAGGCTCGACACAGTGATACCGGTATCTTCGTTCTTGCCCTGATACAGCTTCCAACTTGTTCCGTACAAGTTCTGTATCGTGGCTATCGGGCCCTCGACCCAGCCAATGGGCAATTGGCCACCTGTGTACTCCAGCCAGAGCATAAGCTCCTGGGCTTGGCTAGAAGTCGAGTCACCCTTTGTGTCGGACGTCATGATGTCGAAGCAAATATTTCCCTTGTAGGCAGTGCTGTTGGTGCGCTTCCAGTCATACGTTGCAGGGATGGACTTGATGGCTGAAAGTCTAACCTCTAGACCCTGGGTAAGTCCTACAAATGTGTAGCCTTTCGGCACGTTGTCCCTATAGTATCGTTAGCCCAGCCCAGCGTACTGACAGATTTACAACTTCTGTGTGGACTCACGTCGCCTTGACATAGTCAATATCGGTAACAGCACTCCATTTGATGTTCTTGTTCCCGTTCGTGCCAGTCGAAACGGAGTCGTAACCCGTGCACATGCTGCCCTTGGTTTGTGCTTGATTGTAAAACATGTTGTACACGATCCACGGAGTGTCAGTCAAGACAACGTTTTGCGCTTTGCCGCACATCTGAATAGGTTTCTGCTTAACAGTGTCTGAGAGCGTAACTCCCTGCGGCGCAGGTGTCGCTAGGATAGGTGCGACTAGCGCCAAGAAGTAAAGAGTGTTGGTCAACATGGCGGGTAAACGAATGTAAGTACTACTTTTAGTAGTGAAGAAATAGCACACTTAAGGAAGGTCAGGTAAAGATCAACACTTCATACAATGCAAGTGATGGTAGGTTGCGAATGCTATCTTATCATTTCTTAAAAAAGGGAGCATCGTCGCTAATTACAGTAATTACACAAAGCGGGAACGCGGGGTTGTGAAACAAACTACAATCTCGTACGAAACATCCCCGATACGATCTAGAACAGTCATTTCCGACATCATTGGCTTGGACATGGCGATCTTCAAAGTTTGTACATTCTTATAGATGACATTGTCCATAAAGCAGGCATGTCTTTTGGGTCGATGAAGCGTTCCATATTGCTGACCGTTTATATGGTCAATTCTCTACGCTCGAGGAGAAGGAAAATAATAAGACTGTCAGATACAACGCCGAGACGCCTTCATGTATACCATGTTGGGTACCAGCGGTGGATCTTTTCCATCTCCTTGATCAATGGCTTTGTCTAAGCTTCTACCATACTACCTTCCTGTCCCACTACTACTGTGCATAGCCCTTGTATTTGCCCACTCACTAGCTAAAAAACATGCGGACAGAAGTGCAATCATTTTGCCACACCATATGCCGTACACCAACAACAAGATCAATGTATTTTTTGAGCAATTGGAGGCTCTTGACTTGACCAATATTCTACTAGAGAAGAAGTCTTCAATTTCATCTCCTTGTATGAATAAAAAGATGGGATGATTTTATCCGCATACTCGGTGTTGCAAGATAACATCGCCCCTCACCCTTCCTTGCTCTGCATTCACGACTGGATCGAATGGCAGTACATGATGATCCCATTTCCGTGGGATATTCTTTGAAAAACAAGTCATAGTTGAAAGCATCATCTCGCTTCATTGCCTGATAATGGGACCTGTTTCACGATGATTTTGCATAGGAAACTAGATTTCAAACAGCACAATCGAGCGTGTCACGTGCAGCCCTACACGTATAAAACCAGACGCAGAAAACAATATGAAATCCGTACATCAGATTCGTTTGCAAACCTAGGTTGCACCAATCCAATCAAGACACAAAGGAACTTCTCCTTTGCTTAGAGTGTTTGCCCAAAGTGCTGCTTTCACCTGAGAATTGCTCGATCCAAATAAATTCGGAACAGTTTGTAACCAGTCGCTATAAAGCTGAGCTGGGGACTCTTCTCCCGAGTGGTGTCATTCATTCAATTTTCACGTCTTTTCTGCATGGGCTTCGCTGGCACAAACACTCCCATGCCAGCGCGCTAATGTATCTTTTACACCCATGTGGAACCCTGCGTGCATACAATTGATCTTACATTCACTCTCGTAATTATAAAGTCAAATTATGATGCAATTGATAGTTATAAACTTACTCTGTGCGCCACAGATATTACTCTTGTTGAACTGTGCGTTTACATCGTAGCTCCAAAACTGGTAAGCATCGCAGAGTCGTAACATGGTCAATACATGACTTTGACCACATTCACTGCGTTTTTGTATCTAAAAGAGGCTAGAACCCAGTTTTTACGATGATCGGGCTATGCGGTGAGAAGCCGTTATGGACTTTCACCCTCGTCTTTTGTGCACCGACAGTGTTCACTCTCTGCTTGTGGTTGTCGAGCAAACACTGCGTACTCGTACCATCCTCTCCTCACATACAAATTGCGCTCCACCAGCGATCTTAAATTTTCCATTTCAACCCTGGAACAAATACACAAGTTCAACATGTTCCTCTTTCAGAAGAAGCCAGCCAGCACAGAGGTCGCCGGCATGCGCCTGACGCGCGATGTCTGTGAGGTGCTAATCGATGTTTGCAAAACGTACAAACAGTTGCTGAGGCTCCAGATATCTGATATACAAAATCTACTTCGTTCAGAGGACTTCAGCACTTCTCTTGCATTGTTGACAAGCATACAAGAGCGTCATGTGCAGATCAAGCACCAACTCATCGATCTCATCGATCGTGTGCGAGATTCCAATGCCCCGTGGTTAGACGAGCTTTCTGACACGGAGGTTTCCATGAGTGGCAAGGTCAAGACGTGCAACCGTATGTCGAGACCGTTCGCACTGGGCTGGAAAACAGCGGCGAAGAAGTACTGGCCGTTGATTGCCGAAAACTATGAGACTATCATATCTTTGCTCGAGCGACTAGATAACGAACTCCAGAGCGCTATGCAAGATGAGTCGTTGTGGAATGGGCAACCGCAGAGACTTGCAGATCGTGTGAGTATTCGAAGGTTCTTGACTTTGGGTACGCCGAGTACGAGCAGGACTGCTAGTACTACTAGGTTCTCGAAGCAGGTGGCCGTTCGCGATATCCCCGGCCGAGAGTTTGCAGTCGAGGATGAAAACGATCCTACCCCGAGTCTGCCTGTACTTAAAGACCGCACGGTTGCTCTCACAGACGATCGTAGGCGCACCTTGGAAAAGTATTCTAGTAGGCGGGCGCAATCGTAGCACGCGTCTTGAGCAGACGTGAAGGGAAGCAATGAGTTTCACAAAGATCAAGAAGCCAAGCGTGAGGTCTTTCCAGGTAGAAATCATGGTTCCTTTTCTCTAGACGCAGTGTATTGCGTATCGGGTACATAGACGTTTGAATTGATATACTTTTGGATTGATTAGCGATTGGGGCATTGTTGTACTGTGGAGTGCCATTAGTATATCACACCATTCGAAAATATGCAAGGGTGAATTCCTTGTACTCAAAGTACTCTTCAACTATTGTAAGGAGAGGATAGTTACGAATTTGATCAAGTTGTGCATGTATATTCTCCGTTTAAATCTTCGCCCTATCACTGTGATCTGTATTGACCAACACATACCGATACCTAGCCTCACCGTTCTCCATGTCCACAACACTCTTATTCGCATCCTTCATATTCCTTTTCTGCACCCAAGGCTTGATACCCTTCTCAGCTGCAAAATTCAGCATCTCTTCAATCTCCTTCGGGCTTCCAATCTGACTACCACCGATCTTGCAGCCCTTGCCAATCAAACCAAACGCTGCAATTGGTGGCAGCTTGTCTTCTGGCGCACCGACTTGAATAAACTGCCCGCCGGTACGGAGCAGACGGAGGTAGGATTCGAGCGGCATGTCTGGTGAGCTGACCGTGCTAATGATAAGGTCGAGACTTCGACTGTGCTTGCGCGCCCACTTTTCGTCCTCGGAGGTAGCAATGTAATCCGTTGCGCCCATTGCTTTTGCGTCTTCAACTTTGTTGCGCCGTCTGCTAATCGCAACAACCTTTTCACAGCCAAGTGCGCTGGCGAACAGCACGCCAAAGTGGCCCAATCCACCCAGTCCCACGACTCCAACGCTCTTCCCTGGTCCTGCACCATTCTTCTTCAGAGGCGAATAAACCGTGATACCACCACACATCATAGGAGCAGCATCTTCCGATCTCAGTCGAGCAGGGATCTTGATGGCGAAGTGGCCAGGCACACGGACGTGGTCTGCATACCCGCCCATACTCCAACTGCCATCTGGATATTTCCCATTGTAAGTGCCCACCATCTTTGTACAATACGGCTCCATGCCAGTGCGACATTCCTCGCACTTGAGACAAGCAAAAGCTTGCGCTCCTACCCCGACCCTATCCCCCAGCTTCAGGCCCGTCACTTTCTCTCCAACACGAACGACATGGCCAGCAATTTCGTGGCCTACACAGATTGGATAGTGTGTCGTGCCCCAGCCAGATCTTAGCGTGTGAATGTCACTGCCACAGATGCCGCAATGGGAAACTTTGATATCAACATCAATATCGTTGAACGGCTTGGGCGTAAAGGGCGACCATGTCATATTGCCTTCAGCAGCTGTCTTGTCGTGGCCAATCCAACCATGGAATTCCGCTGGCGAAGTCATGTTCCCTTTTTGATGGTGAGGCGATTGCGGTGTGGATTGTAGAATGGCTGTGTCAGGCGAAATCTATGCACATTTATTGCTATCGAGAGCTCGAAGTTGATTGTATAGTTTCTGGTACCTCGCGCAACGCGAGAGAACTGTGTGTGTAGTAGCCATGTTCAAGGGCCGCGGAAGTTGTCCAACGTCATGGTGTTTGGACTAGGTTGACCGAGGCATCTTGCAGAGGGGTTGAATATTTAGCGTAACGTACTTGTTAACCCGGGCCGAATCGCGCGGAGTGATTGCATCTTTTCACCATTAGCAGAGTTACTTGCGCGTCGAGGTAGCCGATTGTGCTGAAGACATTACACAGCAAGCACCTCGCAGTCCTCCTCTATGTTTACGTCGTCACCTGATGATGTGATGAACCCTACTACAATGTGCAGTATGTTGGAACCTAAAGACTCTTTAGACTGCCAAGATTTTGCCGTGGCAAGAGAGTTTCAATGCCAAGTCAGGGCGAGTTGTCTATCAACATTATCACACCCTACCACCATACACCGTCTGTCTTCTAGCATGGGGTATTACGTCAATTCGCTGTTCAAATGCAACGATGGGGAGGCACAATCGACCCATTGATAGAGGTGCGGAAGAGTGCTAGATGATATTATTCTCCATGCGCCACCTTACCACGTCGCGTAACCTCCACATTGGTTCTAGCAACAACTCTACGACTACACCTTCTGTCAATAGAGCCTCACATTGACTAAAAGTCAAACTCTCTCCATTGCGGTAGCCATGACAATCCAATATCTTCACAATACGCTCTAGTCCGTTCTCCGACCTTGTCATAATTTCCTCCGTATCTCCTCTCAGCGTATTCATATCAGCCTCTTCATCAAAAGCCCCCCAAGCTTTCACCTCAGCTACATCTGACCCAACTGCGCTATCCCGTTTCCAGGTCTTGCCATCGAGTGTATCATAACCTAAGAGGCGGATTTGGCGGCCAATGACGAACGATTTGAAGTCTTTGTCCCAGTGCTTGCTTGCTGTTATGAACAGAACTGTGACACTGGCAGTGATTCCATAAGTGTCGGTTTCTTTTCGCGTGTGGCCAGATGAACTCATCATAATACCTGTATCGCCACCGAGGCGGTAGCCAGCGAGGTAATAGTCGCCGTATCTCTCACAAAGTCCTTTGTAACCCTGACCATACTTGATCTCGATAATGGCCTCCTCGGTCAATCGAGGCTGGCGTTGGAACTCGATCGTTCCAGCTCTAAAGCATGCGTTTAGGGATATCTTGTCAGACTGGGAGTTGTGTCAGTAGTTTTGCCTTATAAATGTGAAGCGAACCACACAGATATATGCTCACATCTGTGTTTTCTTGCAAATCCTTGTCGAATGTGCCCTTTACACTGGCTGAAGCAAGGAAGGGGAGTCCAACACCAACGCCAAAGCCCAATGTCAGATGATCAGCCGTCTCTCGCTCAGTCGTGGTCTTGACCTTTTTGAACGTTGAAGTAGTCCCATACTCAAAGTGCAGCTCCTTGGGTATCATATGTAGATCGGAGAGTACGAAGGGTGTTTCATCTGACCAAGGATTGTTTGTCGATTGCCGATTGGAATGAAAAGTGGTTCCAAGTCGAACAGGAATATGACCCCATGGTAGAACAAGTGGCAGGCCTTGTTGAGCCTGCAAAGTGATTTCGCTATCGCGAGGACCCTCTGGACGAGCGAGATACTCTGCGTCTTCAGGAGCTGTCATGGTTTTGGTAGATGATGAATGAATGAGGGCTTCACATCGTCTTCACTCCTCTCTTCTCCACCTGCGTACGGTACTGTAATCTGTGAGCGTGCGCAAGCGAAGTATAAGGCCAAGACAGTGTCTTTTAATTTCATGTGTGCGCACATGATCTTTTTCCCCCAGGTCCAGTTTTAAGCCAGCATCACAGCTGAGACTGGCCCCGCGGTTCACATTGTACCATCTCCCACGATCGTTCAGTGGTGCCGATATAATTCGCGGACCGACCAGCCCGTCCCGACACTTACCGCATGTGGTTCTTGTGTCTCTTTGATTGGCTAAATTGTGGTGGTTTGCAAGCTTTCAGGTAGCCACCAGGAGCGCCTTCAGCTTCGGTACTGATAGGCATGGCTCAGCCTCACCAACACGAGATCTTCCCCGCATCTAGTTCCTCTCGGCTACGCACTATTGCTGGTCTGGATCATACACTCGCACCTAGGCTTGCCTGAACTGTGCATGCAAGATCGTTAGCATCCTCTTTCGAGAACGTATCATCCTCTTTCTGTCGTTCGTCTAAGTATGTCGAGATAAGCGAACCACCTTGTTCAGCCTCTTCAGGAACGCCGAAACCACTAGGATAAGCCACAATAACCCAAATGTGTACCATGGTAGTCAATTGTCTGGACACAGCTGAGTATGTTTGACTGAGAGCTCACATGTCCTCTCAATTTCGGTGAATCAAACCCCCTTTCTTTAACACGTCCAAGAGTTTCCAATAATGTTGTAGACGGCGCTTCCGTGTAGAAGAGAAAAAAAAATCAAAAAACATGTATATATAAGACGAGGTTCCATACCATTCAACTATCATCCAGCTCTCGCATTCTTGCATGCTACATGTCCTGCATAATTCGTTTGTCATTTCAGCTGCTGCATTTTTTTACTTGGAGTTTCGTTGTCCAAGCTGTCACGATAACCACATAATTTCGTCAAGATGTCGCTCCTCTTAGCCCCCTACAACCATGCTATGCGACTTGGTCAAGGGTACTTAACTCTTGTCTTGAATGCCTTGCAGAACTAACAGATTGCCAGTTTCAATTCCTACACTCAACAGATATGTATTGATGACGCCGTTGTGATTGACGAGCAGCATCCCGAGAATGTTGTTACCAATGATGGTACCACTATGCGAATCATGGCACAGAAGAGCGCTCAGCCCAGTGCTTGGACACGGCAGAAGGAGGTCATCGTTGGCCAGCCTGCTACTGCGATTCTTGTGGAGAACGCCAGGAAAGCAAAGGCGGAAGTTGCATTCATTGAAGCAGAAATTGCTGAAGAAGCGGCTGAAAGTATGTCAATCACTGTAGAAGGCTTCGGGCGATATAGCTAATAGTTTGCATAGAAACACTCGAGAGTTCCGTATCAAAAGAAGAAGTCGACAAGCAAAAGGCCGACCAGAAGGCTTCCAACTCAGAAAAGAATCCAAAGGCTACCAAACCACAGAAACACACTGGCGAAGATGAAAAGCCATCTGTCGAAGCTCCTAGTGATGAATCTGGCTCTACGAAAGATGTGGCCGAGGATGAGGAAGCGCCTGAAGAAAATCTGGCTACTAGTGATGAGGGCACAGCCATGACACCGCAATCCTCTTCCGACAAAACTGCTTCAGGCAGCGAGAAACTTACGAAGATACATAAAATAGAAAATTCCGCAGCCGAGGACATACCAACAAGCACGGATGTCGCTAAAACACCACGCGGTCGAGCAGCTTCTACTGAGCCAGTAGCGGACACCAAGGCTACCAAGCCAGCGACTGAGCAACCTGCTAGCGAGAAGCTTTTGGGTAAGCCAGTTCATTCAAATGGAGATCCTATGGAAATGAATCCCAAGGCTATCGAAGAAACCATCCAGGGCAACGCGATCGAGTCCGACAAAGCGCACCGTGGCCTTGTCGCAGCCAATCTTCAAGCGAATTCCGGAAAGCCTCCTCCCCAGAAGAAACCCTCGCAACGCAGTAGCTCGTCTGACCGTGTACGCCAAACTGCTCTGCCTACCGGCCCGCCCAATCGTGCTGCAATCAGATCCGCCTTAACTGGAAAGCGTCTCACAGACGCAGCCAAGGCAGCCAAAGATGAGGCCGAGATGGTTCGTAGACAGGCGGAGGAGGCAGAGCTCCTAGCAGAGCACCGCCGGGACCAGAAGGCACTGCAGCTCCAGCAGCGCAAAGATGAGATGGATCGACGCACCGAAGACCGCGACGAGCAGCGCGCGATTCGTGCAGAGAAACGCGCATGGGATGCAAAACGGCGCGAGGATGCTCGTAAAGCCATTGAGAACGCTGCCAATCTGCAAGCCACCAGTCTACAGGATCTAGAGAAGATTCGCGCGCAAAATCAGTTCGTTGAACGATTTAGCGGAATGGCGGAGCAGTCGGCCAAGTACGATTTTGATCCCACTGCGCCTCGAGGACCTAGCCAGAATGTCACATATACATCTCGATTTGTTGATCGGCTCAGTGATGTTACGGAGGATATGAGTGTTTCCGCATCACTTTCCATCAAAGCCGGAAAGGTTGGAGGTTCTGGAAAGGGATCGTTTGTCGATTCCGATAAATTCAAGGAGAGTGACCTGAACTTCTATATCTCCGTGAAGGTAGTCAATCAGACCATCAACTTCAAGGATCCTCTGGTTTACAATCCGTTGTCAAACATTGACAAGGATAACTTTCGGGAAGTCTATGGGGATTCCTTCATCTCTGGCTTTGTGGAAGGTGGCGAATTCAACGCCGTAGTCAGCATGAAAATCCTGAACAAGGCGAAAAAGTCGGACATCCAGGCAGAGGCCAAAGTCGCATTGACCGTGGGTCCCGTAGACGTTTCAGGACAGGCCAATCTCGGTATCGCACGAAGCAATATCCAGACAAATACCGAGACCACGATTCAGGTAAGCTGGTCAGGTGGTGGGCATATCAAGCCCATGGAGCAGCAGTGGGATATCCACAGTCTGATGAGTGCTGCTGCAAGGTTCCCAGACCTTGTTGCCGATTGTCCTCAGCGCACCTACGCAATCTTGACGAAATATGACTCTCTACGAAGCTTCGTAGCTAGGAAGCCTGCATCATACACGGCCTTGCAGTATGAGAACGCTCAGCTCTATACGAGTACACTGCTCGACTCCTTTGTCAGCTACAAGTCTTTGTATAAGCGATTGGGCGAGCAAATCTATGGAGTCCAAACCAAGCTGTTAGAAATCACACCCTGGACCGATGAAGAGCAGAAGAACGTCGAGGAATATTCCACTGCCGTGACACGGATGGGAACCAAAGATCCGGTTTCGGGACTCTATCCACACAGAGATGTAGACAAATACTTTGAAGCCTCCATCACAGGTCTGAGCAGCGCTCGAACTGCCATACGCCGCCAAATGGCCCGTATCGTCAACGAAGTCGATCTGATGGAGAAGAACCCCAAGCTCGCGACGGACGAAGATCATGTTGAGCCCTACCAATCACCCGTGGCTTTCGAGGCTCGTCTTCCGACTGTCGACGTGCCTGAGCGCCTGCGCGTAAAAGGCAATCCTCTGTCAGGCAAGAGTCTCACAACAAAGACCCTGAGCGAAAGTGAGCAAAAGGCACAACTCGAAGCAGAAGCAGAACTTGCCAAAGGTGGTCCATTGTATACAGCTGGTGTGGATGGCAATGAAGTGAGATCCTTCGATAGTCTTCTCCTCGAGAATCCTACGCTCAGCGCGCACTTCCGAGCATCCAGTGCTGTTGGTGAGAGCGACAACGCTGTCGGAAAGTTATTCAATAACCTTGAGTTCCTCAAGTCCGACTGGGTTATCACATCTATCCGTACTGAGATGGCCAACGGCGCACTTGTGTTCTTGGCAGTTCACTATGGCAATGGTCTTGTTGTAGAGAGGGGAGCAGTAAGTGATTAATTTTTCCAGTGACATAAGACCTATAATTAACAGTGCGTAGTCTCAAGATAAAGCGCGCGTCAAGAAATTTGGACCTTTTGCCCCCGGCGAGAGAATCAATTCAGCCTCTATTGAGCATGGTAAGCGCAAGGGTGAGAACATGCCAAAGCAAGTACTCGGGCTTCGCCTTTTCACCAATCGTGGTCGCAGCTTGATTGCGCGGGCGCTGCATTCTGACACTACTGATAAAGGCCTTGTGACCAGAGATGGTGTGATTTACGAAGAGGTCAAAGTGCAGTACATGGATATGCCGTTCAACTCGGGAACGATCAAGGGTTTCTTCGGTCGCAGTGATGATAGCGGAGATGGCAAGATCTACCGTCTTGGTGTCATTTGGTGTCGCTTAGACGATCTGAAACCAGAAGAGGCTGAAGCTGATTTCACGACTGCTGAAGATGTGGTGGATCTCGATGATCTTGCGCTACTTCAAAAGGATCAGACGACAGGAAACAAGGCCCTTGAGGCGATCCAGCAAAGGCTCGAAAATACTGAACAGGTAACACACCTTTCAAGAAACTCTAGATCTACTACTGACATCATCAGCAACTTGCGAAAAGCCGCTCCTCAATCCTCACATCAGAAGACCAGCTCGCCAAGACACGACAAGATATCGCAACCAGAGACAGCAAGATTGCAGAACTGGAGAGACTCCGCAAACCAGTTTGGGAAGCTCAATCTGGTTCTTTCTCCGCCAAGGACAAAGGTTGGCCAGGGGGCCAAAACATTGGGCATAATTGTGCCGTCACATTCTCCAAAAGTTATCCTTCACCTCCAAAGCTTCTGTTCGGTTTGAGTGCCATAGATTGCGAGTCCGGCAAGCCCCGTTGCCTGTCCCTGGCCGGCCCAGAGGTGACGGCCAGCGGATTCAGCGTCCATGCAGCAGCTTGGAATAACACGTATGGCTATCGAATCGACTGTAACTGGATGACGCTACCAGACGATCTCCATCTTGAAACCGGCATGCTGTACACCGGCAATGGTAACCGCGGTGCCTGGGAAGAAGACATATTCTTCAGCCAAAGCTTTGCCTCGCCGCCCAAGATTGCCGTCTGGATCCAGGAATTCGAATGGCATAACCAGGGATTCATGTCCATCACCTGTGTTGCCGAACAGATCACCGCTAATAGGTTCAAGTTGAAAGTCCTCTCGTGGGCGGATCGTTCGTACCGACAGGTACGAGTGCAATACCTCGCCTACCCCGCCGAAGAGGACGGGAAGCGAGTCAAGAGTGGACGAAATACCGTCCACCGTAGTCCAGGATCTATGGAGAACAAGGGCCCATTTTACGGTCAACCTTTCACAAAGCAACCGCAGACTTTCGTTGCAATCTGCGAGACCGACTTCAACTCCAGTCGCAATTTGCGGTTTGAATGCTCTGCTAGAGCTCCGAACAAGGAAGAACTAGTATGCAGGCTCGGTACCTGGGCAGATACAGACATGGATCATGCGGTAGTGCAATGGATAGCTATAGAGTAGGCATATGGCTGTCATTTTGCTACCAGCTGCGCTTGTGGAAGATGGATCGTTCAAGATCAGGACTTCCTCAGACGAAACAAGGACCGGAAAAGAGCTCTTTTCCCTGTAGTACTTGTAAATTTGCAATATCAATATCTCCTTCATAACCTCACAATACTTCCATGGTCTAAACATGCGTATTGCCTTGCGTATAAAACCGCGCGGAGAGATTTATGGGGCAAAGAATGTAAGCTCACTGTCATGTCAACCTGCAATTTTCATGCAGGCGGGAATATCACAGTCCTCCAAACCCTATCCTGGGGAACAGAGCACTTACTAAGCTTTTAACATGCAGTCAAACTCACCGTCATCGGACAGGACTCCAGACAAAGTTGGGATCCGCAGATACACCACAAAAGGCCATCATTCATCTTCGAATTCGCATACGGTTGCCAGACTGACCAAAGATCATACTCACCTTGTTCATTGATTGCAGAACCATTGTTTTTGAGCACGTAACGCATGAGAAATAGGGACGCACCTGGGGCAAGCTAGCGGTCAAACTTGGAATGATTGTCAAGCCAGAGGGTACACTGAGTGTGATTGCCGGAGATGTAAATGGCCCTGAGATAGTCGTGGGGTTTCCAATGCTCATAACCAGTGGAGCCACGACTGTTGTGCTCGTAGTACATGCGTCTGCGCCCTCTGTTTCTGCTTGCACGGATGAAGTCGGCCATGAGTAGGTTGTAGGGCTTCCAATGCTCATGACTACTGGGGAAACGATTGTTGTGCTCGTCGTACATGCGTTTGCGCCGGCTGTCTCTACTTGCACAGATGAAGTCGGCCACGAGTAAGTTGTAGGGCTTCCAATACTTAAAACCAGTGGAGCAACACTTGTTGTAGTTGTCGTACATGCGTTTGAACCCGCTGTCTCTGCCTGCACTGCTGAAGTCGGCCAAGAATAGGTCGTGGGATTTCCAATACTCATAACCACCGGAGAAACGATTGTTGTACTCGTCGTACAAGGGCCTGTATCCTGTGTCTCCGCTTGCACGGATGAAGTCGGCCATGAATAGGTCGTAGGGTTCCCAATGCTGGCAACGGGTGGCCACAGAAATGTTCTAGTCGTGGTACACAGTTCTGGTTCGTCCGTTTCTGCCTGAACGGACGTGATCGGCCATGAAATCGTCGTGGCGCCTGCGATAGTCGTAACTGGCGAAGCAGTAACTGTTGTGTTGGTAGTGCACGCGTTAGCATCTTGTGCTTCTGCTCGGGCGACAAGCGTGATGTCCGGGAGGTATGCGGTGGAAGTGGTAGTGTAAAGCAATATGGTTGTCGCGTGGGAGGCCTGGAGCCAGAAGGCTATTGCGGTGAGGAGCACCCAGAATGGGGTTTGCGCCAGCATCTTGTTCTGATGAATGTGTTGTAAGATGAACCAAGATTATCTGGAAGCTATTCAAGGAAATTATAGGTTGTTTTGCTGACGCAGAATATAGGGTTGGAATTTAACAGTCGACATTTGGCGAGGGGGGGAAGCGAATGTGGATGGATGGGGGAACCATGAGAGCGAGGAAAAGCAGGTGGGCAATGGTAATGCGGACAAGAGATTGACTTTAAGCTATGTTGACATTGTTAATAGAGGAAATTCGAGAAAATGGTTGGCTGATATGTCCCAGATATTAGCGGTGCGATGCCGTACCGCCTTGCACCACTCGCTGTATTATATGTTGGGCGTGACGGAGAGCGCTCCATTCGAAACTGCGCTCTCCCGGTGGTCATTCCTGAACCTTGACACCGAAGAAGGGAAAAGCTTGAGTCTTTCAGGAACTGGGCAATGCGCGAGGGGGAGAACCCGTTGTACCACGCTTCTCGGAAGTACCCAGAACCAACTACCGTACCGGTAACCATGGTACCGATGGTAACATAACTTGCTTTCAGCCGGGGGTATCAGAACATCTGCTCAGTCCTGCCAGTTTGACATGCAAGATAGAGTCTGGGCTTGTATTAAAGCTTTCTGAGTGTCAGAGGATATCGGGAGTGTGCAGTTCAAGATGATTCAACTATGCATGATTGGCCCCATCAGTCCAGCATTCCTCCGCTTGGCGGAGTCTGCTCCAGCATCTGATCCGAGTCTCCCATTTCCATCCCTTCGACAATTGAATGCACAACCATGAAAGTCGCAAAATGTCATCTTATTAGTGTTTACAGACGACCCTGTCCCTTCGCAGTGCCATTGTCCCACCGTAGGACGTACGGGTTCCACAGGAGCTTCATCTAGAACACCAACAGGATCTCACCTTCTCGTGAGAATAAAGTATCATCATCTGAGGGAGTTCGCAGTTGATTTCTTACCATCTCATCCTCAACGTGCCGTAATGCTCTGATCTGACTTATTTCGACAACAATAGACCTGCCTACTGGTCTACTCACCAGACTACGTGATTAACTCAACTGTAATCGGCCTATCCACCATCCCACCAGCCACAGCCCAGACCATTCATTTCTGCTTTTCAATGGTAGTAACAATGCATATATCTTTTTCATTTGAGCTGTTCCTGAATTTCAAATTCCCGATCAAAGTCAGCGACTACCGTCGGTGTAAGACTTAGGATGCACATATGCACATCGTACACTTGATTTTCCACTCCAATGCGATCATGTCCTCGAAAAAAGTTCCACGTGTGTATGTGTGTGAAGAAAAAATCCCCACCCGTCCATGCAACCGTACCCTAAAAGTGCTGATAAGCGCCTGTGAAGAAAACGACCCGTCGTATATCTACATGTCTTTTTTAATCCCATGAGCCGAGTAAAGTTGAACATTCACACACTGAGTGTCGCAGGCGCCGTGCTGTCCTGCAAAGAAGATAGAATGTCTTGGGCGAGAGTTGTATGCTGCGACTCAGTCTCCATGGCAGGAAGCTTGATGCGCTTTGCGTTTGGCTCGTCATCGGCATGTTTCCGCTTATCAGTTGATGGGGGGACATCTTCCTTCTTCCTAATCTTCTCCTCTCCTGTGGCATTCGCCTCTTTAACCCTCGCCCGTTTCGATGCGCGACTTTCCTGATTGGGAATACCCAAATGCGCGTCCACCTGCTTCGCATGCTCCATCAAGCCATCCACGTTCTCCAGGCCCAGCGCCTGAATAACATCGGTATAGCACTTGGACTTATTCATGGCCGCGTACGCCTTCTCCTTGCCCGGAATCATTTGTCCAAGCAGGTATTTTGTGTTGCCCCATCGGTTCTCTACCATGAGCGCAAAGCGCATATATTCTGTGACCACCGTCTTCCACTGCGAACGCCACTCGTGCGGCCCGCCTTCGGCATCGGCGCGGAAACAACTGGGATTCTTTTCGGCTTCCGTGGCAATCATGGCGCCGTCGACATGGAATTCTTGCATGAGTTGAAGGGCTTCGGTGCGCGAGGTCACGTCGCCGTTCATGACGCATGCAACACCCGCCTCGCGACAGATTTCGCCCACCATTTTGAGTTGATCGCGAATGGCGCGTTCCCTGGGCCTCATGGGGGTTGTGCGGCAGTGAACCGTGAGGCCTGTAATGCCTGTTCGAACTAGGCGTTTGACGAGGGCTTCCGTTTCCTCTGGCAGTTCGAGGATGCGGATCTTGACGCTGATGCCGATTTCGAAGGGTTTACCTACTTCTTCGACGAGCCGGGTAAGAATGCTGCAGAGAAGGTCGGGCGTTTTGAGGAGGGCGGCGCCCATGCCACCGGCGGTGGAGAATGGCTTGGGACAGCCAGAGTTGACGTCGATGCCAGCTACATCGGCTGCTACCATCTTGGCAGCCTGAACAGCCAGCTCAGGGTTTGCCGTGCCCATTTGGTAAATCAGTTTTCCCTTTTCCAGTTCTGGATGTATCCGATATATGACGCTCTCGCGCAGTTCTGGGTCGAGGGTGGGGTTCTTCAATTTCGACGTTGGCAGGCGCGACCACTCCAGCGTCGACGTGTGTGGGTTCAGCCGTCTCGTCGTCCCAATGATGGCGCGATCAATGGTTTCTGGTCCCCATACTAGGTCTGCGCCGTACTTGAGCGCAAGAAGGCGAGACGGCAATTCACCGGAGCGCACCATGGGCGCAAGAACAACTTTGCCACGGTAGTCGGCGCCATTTTTAGGGATAGGGACTCGTGGAGGCTCGTTCGTGGCCATGGTGCGTGTTATTGTACGGGCGAGGTTGCGTAGCATAACATGCCTCTATCTGATTGCAATTGTGTATGGAGTGAGTGGGCGAGGAGGGCAGAGGTGGGGCGTTGCTGAAGTTCTGATCACGTGCAAGCGGGGCTAACGTCAACCCAAGTCTACAGCGTTTTGTGTGCTTGGCACCTCGGTGAATACGGTAGAACCTCATACGTACGATAAGTAGCATGGTGAGGATCAAGTGTAGTAGTACATATGGACACTTATTTATACAAGGTCGTATGAGCTCTGGTCTGTCATTTATAACCAATGTACAAGTAAATTACACCAGCACTATATCCCTCTCCTCGACATCCATCAGACCAAGCTCACCCTCCATCATCCCATGGATATATGTCTCTGCTATCAGCTGCCATGTTTCTACTTCTGGCGGCGTCTCGTCAATGGTAGATCTCGCTCATCAGCTTGATTTGTGTTCTCTTCTCTTGCCCATCTTTTTGATTGATGGATATAGCATCAATCCAAATAGGTAGTACAGGTCTGTGAGAGCCTCGTCGAGCCAAATACGGGAGTGCTGAGTAGAGATTATGGCGGACGTGCGAGACAGGGTCGTTGCGTTGGATCAGATATTCTTAATTCTACGAGCGCCACACGTAGGATAGCGCTTCATATTTGATTTCAGAATCACTGAGTGTGGTTGTATCTAGATTCCAGGTAGACCATGTGATCTAACTTGTATCGAGTTCAGCATCATGGCCTCATAGAATTGATATGTTGTAGAATGTACACGTAAGTAGAGTGAATGACAGCAAGCAGCTTAGAAGACGGACGATATAATGTCATGCTGAGAAGATCATCGATTGATATGCTGCTAGCGGTAGTAGGCAGTCGGCCAATCAAAGAGTTGTAGAAGGGACTTACCTAGACGTTTCAATGACATGGGAAGAAGATACTTGATCACACCCTTAAGTGTGAACATGGCGTACCTAGGCATTCTATAGCCAAGTAAGATACCGTGGATTTCAACAGCATTTAATCAGAAACAATGATGCTATATTTCACGAGTAGTAGATGACAAACCTATCTCGAGACATGGATATCTTGCATCGAATCGCCAAGCCACTAACCCCAATCCACCCTCGCGCACCTCGAACCTCCATCATCGCCCTGCCATCATAGACATCAACCACCACCCAACCCGCTCGCCCCGCCCCAACCCACCAAACATGCAGTCACTCCGCCGAACCGCAGTGGCTGCCGCCCGCACGCCCCGAACCCACCTCTCACGCCAATCGCGCCGCCATGCGCACGACGACCACGCCCACGGGCACGCCCACGCATCCGCCGAAGAACCCATGGGTGTACGTCCGCCCCCCCTCCCCGCAGCGCCCATTGCGCCCGCTCCACCCCCTTTCTTGACCCTCACTTTTGCACATGGCCGAGTAGGTTGCTGACTTGAGATTATGGTGCAATAGAAGGGTTTCTACGGCACGATAGCGTTGGTCCCCGCCGGCTGGGCGCTTTACAGCGTGTCGCGCAAGAGCGAGGATGGCGAGCCGTACTTTACGCGGATGATGAATAAGGTGACGGAGGGCTGGAATAGCCAGTGGACTGCGCAGAACGATTTGCATGTCCGGATGCTGGAGCAGGCGGGTGAGGATCGGGTGTTGTTTCAGAACACACAGCCTGTGCAGCATGTGGAGATGAAGTTTCCTGAGTATGTTGGGTTTGTTCTTTTGTCTGTTGTTGTGTTTAAGAGGCAGAAAGGGGGAGGAGAAGAGGAGGAAGAAGAGGGGATGTGATGATGCATGGACGCATTGACAATGTACACGCTGAACAGAGGAAACACGACTAACGAGTCCTTAGGATCATGAACAACGGATCGCCATACAATGTCCCCGCCGGCAGCCAGGTCGACATGCAGCAAGTGATTGACAAGTACAAGAAGATTGCCCGCGAGGACAATGAGCGCAAACTTGAGGCGCTGAGGGAGAACAAGATCAAGTCTGAGCAGCCGTTTGATGCTAGCAAGTTGAGGGCGAAGAAAGCCCCGGATATGTTCTAGGGCGATTGACAGGCAAGACGAGTTGCGCAAGTTTGGAGCAAGTGTATATATCAGAGAGTTGTTAGCTTAGCTGAGCATTGATGGATTCAAAGATGTAGGTTTCTTGACGTGTACTGTGCCTTGTCTTGGTGATCTCAGGCTGTATCACGCTCAAAGTTTTTTTTAGTACTCCAGTTGCATTGCTCTAGCGTCGGGCTAGACCATGAAATGATGTTTGGCCGAGGGGCTCTATGAGATGGATAATCGAGCTCTAGATCCTCCCCCAGTCTACTCAAGTATGTCGTATCTCAGCGGCCTTGACATGAGAGGTTGCTAGACGTGCTTGGAATGGATTGAATATGATCACGATAACACCCTCTGTTGCACACGGTGGAGGCATGTTGTTTTATGGGTGCGTAATGAGGGGAACATGGACGTGTTTGCGTGTGCGTGTGGCGTGCAGACGAGGGATACTTTGGATGTACCGGTAGTGGTGTGATGAGATCAACAGACTCAGTACTCTCCATTACAATCTACCACCTCCTACCCAAAAGACATGCACAAGAATCCGCTCCACAGACAAGATTCCCAGATCGTCTTGGGATCGAAGCGTGATGATGCTTCACACGTCATAGTGTAGCTGGTTGCCGTGGTTCCGTGGTGAGTGAGCAAAAGGGCCCCACTTTTCCTGCAGGTCCCGAAATGGATTTGAGCTAGTACGCTGATTGGTGCAATGGTCAGCATGGTCTTCAGGTGGACGATGAATTGGAGGCGCGGTTGTGTGAACGTGAGGAGGGACTGTCAGTTGATCATGACTGAGCAGCTTCTGCCTGCGATTGCAGAGGCTTTTGATGGACTGTTTGGGTCCAAAGCTTAATGACTTGCAACACGCACAGCAGCAGGAGGAGACACACGATCATGATTGCTGAGACCACACTACTAACAGCATTGGTAACGCTTCTCAAGGTGATGGACGTGTCCAGTCGGTGACGAGGTAGGTCATCCTATATTGAATTGCGACCGACAAAGGAAGACTTGCACGGCATAGACATGTCTCTGGAGGCCGATATCGATGGAAATGACTGTCTCAGCCTTGAGGTACCAGTACACGTGTATCTGTTGTTGCTCGAAACACCACCATTCTCACCAACATGCGAACATGGCGCTCACTTGCATACAGTAGAACAGACCATGGCAGACAAAGACAACTCGGCCAACAACCGGCTTCGGTCCGCTCTGTTTGGTGGTGGCAGAAGGAAGGCGGCCCCAGCCGGTAAGTTGAAACCAAGTGTAGTCAACCCGGCCCCTGCACGGGTCAACGCCCAACACGGACCCTCGTCGAGCTGCATGAGCGATTGCCTGCGAGGAGTGTAGCGGTAGCGGTAGCGCAGACTGACTGCATTCAGGTACTGTGTAAACATGCCATTCACTCTCTCCCCACTCACCCACCCATTGCTTGAACCCGGTTCTATTTCCACAGCTCCCCACACACACACACACACACACACACACACACACACACACACAGTCTCCATTCGATCGAACAAACTTTGGCATGCACAGACCAGCAAGTACCGGTAGATGCTAATTGATCGTGGTTGAGAAACAACAGCAGCCGCAGCAACATCAGCGCCGCCCCACCCCGGCCG